CATATTTGGTTTAAAAATAAGTTTGGTTATTGGAAAACACAAAAAAATCATACACATAGATGGCTGCAGCACTGATCCCAGCTGCAGCTGCCCCCACCCGGCTTTACACCCAAAAACTGAGCAATCAAAGACTGTGTCACATACCTGGTAATGGAGACTGCCGTGGAGAGGAAGGTGATCTATTACACCTCTGGCTTGGTACCCCTGGTAAAGAGAAGGCACTTGGCAGGTTGGCAGATCACAGGCAGAAGGCACTTGGCAGGCTGGTAGATCACAGGCAGAATGCACTTAAGTAGGTGCATAATAGGCTGCATAAGTAAGGATGGCCACCACAGGATGGACACAGAGCAGGGTCAGGCAAGCTGGGTCAAACACTAGCAGGCAGGTCAGGAACAGAGCGGCGGGCAGGAGATTAGTCAGGTTTAGGATGGAGTTGGCAACGGTAAGCAAACAGACAGGAGGATCAGGCATAGATGTGGTCAAGGAACAAACCAGGGGGTTGGTTCAAGCAGAGTTTAAGGGCGGTCAGACAGATAAAGACAGCAACAGGAGATCAGGCACAGGAACAGGTAGCAAGTAGCAGAAAGGCTAGATGGAGCCATCAGATGGTGGTTACTACCCACTTTGAAAGAGTCTGTGGGGAACTAGGATCTTTAGGATCCCTAGGACAACATTGGCAGAAGGGTATGTTAGCAAAAAACACGATTGTTATACAGATCCCCACTTTGCTAATTTGAGAACTCCCATTCTGCTGCCACACATGAAACTTGTTGGTCATGGTGAACACCCAGTGTAACACTTATTTGTATTTATATCCACTATATTTATTCATAGGTTTATTTTATATATATATATATATATATATATATATATATATAACTTTACATTTATATTCATCTACTTAGTATCAATTTTATTTCTGGTGTCATCCATCAATGTATTATTGTTATCTGGATATCTTACATTTGCATCTGTGGTCTTGTATACTTATTGATTTATTCATCGTTCTTTATGTTTGCTTAGTACCCACCCACTGATAGGAGGGGCCAACACTGGACACCATGTGACCTTTGTATAGTTCTCCTATAAATGCATGAGTTGTGTAACATTCAAAATTGGCTCTGAGAAAGAGGGGATCACCTCTCAAAACGCGTCAGACTTTGGATCACCTATCCTCTAAAGGGACTTGTCCAGGGGACCAGGTCACCTTTATTCACTAGTTGATTTATGTGCCATTTATACTATGTCGTTTGTGAGTATACATCTGGTTTTTTATACAAATAAAGGCACCACTGAGGTGATGCGCTAGGCTGGTGCGCCCTCTGTGTTTTTTTGTGTTTTGAAGTTATCTTTCTGGGTTTCCCCAACCTGCTGGAGGGCAGCAAAGCCAGTGCCATGATTGAAATATCTGAAGTCATCCACCAAGCTGTCTGCTCACTTGTGCCATACACTTTTCTTGAGCGCAGGAGGTTTTTTTTTCCTATTTCACAGCAAGTAGCAGAATGCAGTAGACCATAAGGCAAAGTCCTAGCACAGCAGATGTGTTTAAATAGCCCACTAGGCACCAATGTAGTGACAGGCATGTGTGCCAGAGCACACATGTGTGCATGGATGAGTACGAGCATGGGTTCGGCTGATAGGAATTCTCCGTCTACTCATAACTATGCACATTTCAGTTTTCCTGACACTGGCTAACAGGAGTTCTCTGTCCGCTAATAATTATGTGACTGGGCACATTTTGCCTTTCCTGACAGACTGCTGATTGCTCAGTTTCTATTCTTCAATGAGCAGAGAGTCAGTGACTGTCAGTCACCAGCTCTCTGTTCTGCCCCTCCATTGCTGATATGGATGGGGCAGCAGTATCTGGCTCAGCCTCTCAGAGGCATGCTGAGAGGCTGAGCCAGCTGCTGGTCCAGGCATCTGGATGGATCCTGACATGAAAGTCAGGATCTTCACAGAGTTTGGACCGGCTCTATTAAGTCAGAGGAAAGCTGAATGTAGACCGCTCTCTATTGAAAATGGTCAGAAGAGTGCAGAACCAAGTGTGCTCCTGTGACCCACAGGAAAAATAGGGCCAAAATAGCTTTGGCCATACTTCTCTTTTTGAATCAAGAAACAATCATTAAGTATTACTAAATAAACTGACATTGGGAATTGCAAAGCATTCTCAAGGTGTAATCTTCTTTATATTTTTGTCTGCTGAAATCTGTATAACAAGTTCATGGGAATCCCATATGGCACTTTTTGCCAAAATTTGATATATCAATGTTCATGAAAGATGGTCAGCATCTTGAATAGTAAACAGTTGTAATGTGAGAGGGCCTGGAATCCCTGGATAAGTGACAGTTAGTCAAAACAGCTGTCTTCCTATGCAAATTATTAAAACTCAAACAGGACCATGAAAAGCACAAATCACAACTCACCCAGAGTAGGTAACTTGGAAGCTCTGGGACATTTAACTTTTTTTTATCCCTTTTACAGCTCTCTTTTTTATATTCAATGCAGGCCATTTCAGACACAGAATTCCCTGGACAATACACTTTATATACTATATGTACAGTACTTGACCCCAAGCTAGTGATTATTGTAGTAGTTGTACATTATAGTACCTAAGCCTCTCTTTAGGGCCAATAACTCAGTACCAACAATTTTACGACAATATTTAATGCCTTGTTGAAGCATATTTTGGGTATTCAAATTAACAAGATAATCTTATTTCATTTAGAGCCTTCAATAATGACATTTAATCCCCAACTACAAATAATTCCCCCTACAAGCCAATAACCCCCTCCCCCCCTTGGGGCCGCCCCAGTGTGTGTTGTATGTTGTGGATGAGAGCACCATAGAGGAAGTGTATATTGCAGCAACAGATGCTTTTTATTTTTAAATCTTTTGGGGGGGACCATTTTAAAAAATAAAAATTTATCCTGATGTTAGATTTTGAACACTCTTTACCTTTATTGTAAAACCATATATTACAACCATAATACAGATCTTTTGTAAAACTAAATGTAACTCAAACAGATATATAATAGGTTAAGTCTAAAGCCAGCCATAGATGGATCAGGCCCTGCTGAACTGGTCAAATTTCAATCTACAATATCTATGGGTCAACGTCTGTACTTACAGCCTGTTGGAACATTTTCGGTCAGTCAGTACCACCAGCTGATGAGTGTTATCTGAGGGCAGATAAGTCTCCCTGCTGTCAGAATACAATAGCTACACAAGAGTAATTTGTGCTGGTTGAACACTGGTTTCTATGTGCGCTTCAAAAATCCTATCATGGGCAAGAAAAAAAATCCTGTCTTTTTAATTTCTTTTGCACGTAATTGAGTATTTCAAGTGAACATGGCTTCACCTTATTCAATAAACTAGCTAACGTTCTCTACTCTTTTATTAAATCAACCCCATGTGTAGTAGCACAGTGCTTCAATTCATCATTCATACAGGAAGTCTGAGGACCAAATTATGCTATATACCACTGTTTACGTGTAGTTTTTGATTTCTCTGTATGCATAGCAAAAATGCATTAAAACAATAGTGTTTTATATAACATCATTACATGCAGTTTATGTGACTCAAAAATTTGCATTTGCATGTCAGCAGCTAATTTTATTTACTCTTTGGTTATCAACATCACTAGTTTGTCCAGTTAAAATATACAAATATACTGTATAAGGATTGCTTTGTCTTTCTGAAGCTTAGAAATAAAAAAAAAATAATCTTTGCTATCCGTTGGCAGTTTGTTCTCTTATTTTTCCAGCAGTCATTTAAATTTGAGCAACAAAAAAACAAACAAGGAACAAGAAAAATATATTCAATCTACTAAATGAAAATGCCTGTGCATCGTGCTAAGAAAATAGTATATTTGGGAATTTTCAATTAACCTATTTTATGTTTATGGCGAGACAGCAGGGTGTTTCTAGTGAGCACGTTTTTTGCTTAGGATAATTCAGATGTAACCTTAAAGTAACTGTTCTTTCATTATTTTTTATTGTATTAAACAGAGAATTGTAAGTTAACCATTTGCACGTGACTTGGCCTGATTTGGCTTCCCTATTAACAACTGTTGGAATCTTTTTTTCAGTGGAAAGATGACCCAAAACTTGCAGTAAGAGAAAGACCAAAAAAGCACAACCATTACAAAACATAGTAATGAGCAAATTAGACTGCTCCACACAAAGTATGAATAAGAGCATGAGAAAGCAGTTAAAAACATACACACCTTATCAATACTATTTATATCAAGGTAATCTGTATTACCTGAATATCTAAAAAAAAAAAGTAATTGGAAAGACTACACATTCCCTTTAAAAGATAAGCTTTTTGGACAAAAATAATAAATGCACATTTTTTTGCAGGTAAAAAAATGTGCATTTATTATTTTTGTCCAAAGGACCCTGGAAAGCATTGCACCAGTAGATCGCTGATGCCATGCAGGTCTCCTGCAGACCTGTCAGAATATTGGCTTGCCGTACGGGATGTACAGTCAAGCAGATATTCTGACAGAAAGCTTCAATGAACTACCACAGTGCTCCACAGTGCCGTGGTAGTTCATTGAAAACTACAAGCCCACAGCCACTAAGGCTGTCTGGACTTGCAGTTCATTTATTCATGGAAGTCTGTAAATGAATGATGCGGCCGTGTGGGTAGAGCCCCGAACGGCAACGCTGTTTTCAAATCTGACAGATAGCATGAGGAGACTTCTCCCCATACTGTCTGTCAGAGGGAGAGAAGGCAGCGGGCACAGCTGAGTTTATGGGAACATGTTACATGTTCCCAAAGGTGAACTTATCCTTTAATAAAAATGAGGGATGTTTTGTGCACGGAAAAGATCAAAGATCAAAGACTGAAGGATGATAAAAACCAATCATTGAAATATGGTAGCTATTCATTACTAGACTGCAGAATGCCAAGACAGTGGTCCACATCAGTTTCCAATAAAACAGTATGCACAAGGAGTTTTTAGTTCCTCCTAAACAGGGGCAGACTGACAACTCATGGGGCCCCTGGGCAATAGGGGATCATGGGGCCCCTGTGTCCTCATCCACACTCAAACCACACCCAAGAGAGCCTATGAAAGGTACCAGGGGCATCTCATGGGGCCCCCTATTGACCCTGGGCCCTCGGACAGTGCCCAAGTGCCCAAATGGTCAGTCCGCCCCTGCTCCTAAATTTGGGTGGGTTTGTCAAATGGGCATTCATTTAAAAATGGGCTTTAGGGTCACCACACCATCATCATATAGCATAAAACAGGATGTTTTGCTAAACCATTATTATATAACCCCAAACAGGATATTTACTAAGTGGAAGAACGGGTTTGAGAATAAAGCTGGCACGTTGGGCACCAAATTGTTTTGGACCTGTCCTTTGCTGACCAACGGACAGCCAGATGGGTGAGTAGTCACGCTGGGCAATCCCAGACTACGCAGGTAAGGAATTATTAGACATAAAATTCACTTACCACTTCTCGGAGGTGATCAGTCTCCGGGTCCAGGCCTGCCCCACGGTCCCCCTCGTCCACTCTCGGTCGGCTGGTCCAGTGTTCAGAACTCGAGCCCCACGTTGGGCGCCAAATTGTTTTGGACCGGTCACTTACAGACCATTAACTGTGATCTACCAGTGAGCCTAATTGGTATGGAATTACGTGCACGCGGAAGTAAGACACTGACACTGTTTGCAGTTTGCCAACTTCCTAAATTCTACTTTATTGAGGAACTAATCGTAACATTTATAGGTCTCTTGACGTAAGAGAAGCATATGCGATGATTGGGTGAAAAGTCCCCTAAGTTTCCTGTGTGTTATTCTTTCATCCGTGTTGATATCTTCCAATCATTGTCACAAATGAGACTCGTTCCCTTTTATGGGGGTTGTCTACATTGAAAGGTGCTTTTTTTTCTAATGAGTCACCTCGGGCGAGACTCCGGATGAAGGCGCCATCTTAATTATCATTGTTCTGTTAGCCTATATCTGATTGTTTATTTAAGAGAGTAAGGAATTTAAAGAGCAAGAGGCAAAGAGAAGCAAAGCTATAAAATTGTCATTTTACTGATCATCTGACAAAGCAGGGATTGTTTATCACAATCCATTACACCTTCACTCAGTACAGGGCCTCTATAAATAGAGGGGATTCCCTTCCTGGGAAATTACCCAGTAATCTAAACAAAGTAATTGGAAGCTGAGGAACTACTGCAACCAGCTTATACCATTAACCATAAGTACATAGATGCATACTAGTATGGAAATAACACAAGCTTATATGAGAATATAAGAAATAATTAATAATAGCACATACATCCAATGTACAAACAGGTATTATCAGTAAAGGACCCAACAAGAGTCCTGGTAGAATTGTGCACATATACATGGGTATATATAGTTATTAATAAAGATACCTCCAGATGATTGTTGCAGCAAAACGGAAAATTGTCACCAATACTTATCGTAATTTTCCTTTCCTGGCCGGTCCTCACATCAGCACAACTGGGTTTACTACTCCTCCCGAACCCTCAGGACCACCTTTTCTAGCAGAGAAAAAAAAGAGACCCTCCCATCCCCACCTGTTCTCTGTTTGTAGCGACGACAGGTCACTAGGGAGGAAAGAAAAATGTTGTGATGATGGATCGCCCAAGAAAGGAAAATTACGGTAAGTATTGGTGATAATTTTTGCTCTCCTGGCCAGCCTCATATCAGCACACCTGGGATATATCATAGCTAATTTAGGGTGGGACACAACAACAAGAACAAATCAATACCTTTAGCTACTTCATGCAGATCCTTTTATTTATTCTGAAAAGGTGCTGACATAACCACCGCTCCAAACTTAGCCGAACTGGCGGACCTTACATCGAATTTATAGTGTCTGGCAAAGGTCTTACAGGAGCTCCAACTTGCGGTCTTGCATATATCTTCAACTGATATGTTTGTGAGTGCCACCCATGAGGCTGCCACCCCTTTTGTTGAGTGAGCATCTGTGGAGGAGCAAGACCCTGTTGTTTATTCGCTAGACTGATCGTCTTGGTGATCCAGGTGGCTATGATTTTTGCCGCAGCCGCTTCTCCCTTCCTGGGTCCCACTGGTAAAATGAATAAGTTATCGGATTTACGTATCTGTTGGGAGCAAAGAAGATAGCGACCATGTGCAGTGATCTAAGATCTAGGTCATCTGTCTGGTTTGGTGGCTGCATGAAACTTGACAAAACAGACTCCCAGTTTACATGGAATTTTGAGGCCACTTGGAGGTTAAGGCTGGTGAAGGCCACAAAATAACCTTATCTGCCAACACAATGCAGAATGGGTCTCTGCAGGATAGGGCTGTTAGCTCCGACACTCTTCTCGCTGATATAATAGCCATGAGAAAGGTTAACTTGACTGTTAGAAACCATAATGGCCATGAATCTGTTGGAACAAAAGGTGGCTGGGGCAGAGCCCTTAGCACTACCCCCAAGTCCCAGGTTGGGAAGAGGTTCTTTCTAGGTGGCCGTATTCTTATTGCTGCCCTAAGAAATTGTTTTATCAAGGGCTCATCTGCCCATTTGAGACCTGTAAATGACGATATTGCTGAATTCTGTACCTTGATTGTGTTGTAGGCTAGGCCTTTATCCAGTGCGGATTGTAAAAACTCTAGCACATTTGCTACACTTGGTGTAGGTGGGGGAAATTTTCATTGTACAGCTACAGATATACATTTTTCCCATATTCTGGAGTATGTAACATTTGTAGAAGGTCTGCTTGCCTTTAACAGCATTGAAATTACCTCTTGTGAATGCCCTGCGACCATAGTCTGGCTGATTCAAGAGCCATGCTGCAAGTTGCAATCTCCCCGAATTGGGGTGAGTCCACTGACCTTGTTTGGGTAAATCTTTCCTCAGGGGCAGAGGTACTGCAGGGGCTGACACCATCTGTAGGAGCAGTGGGAACCATGGTCTCCGAGTCCAAAAAGGCAGAATCAGGATTGCATGGACCTCTTCCTTCACTATCTTCAACAAGGCCCTCATAATCAGTTTGCCAGAGGGAAGAGGTACACTAAGGAAAAGTTCCATGGGATGTAAAATGCATCCTATGCTAGTGCTCTGTTGTCCCTGTATATTGTGACAAATTTTGGCACTTGTGCATTCTCTGGGTTGCCATCAGGTCTACAGATGGCATCCCCCAGTTCGAAAAGATTGGCTCCAAGTAGCGCCTGTTGATTGCCCATTCACTGTTGGTGGGGAATCTCTGACTTAGCTTCTCCGCAATGCGGTTTTGTTTGCCTGGAATATAGGCAACTGTTAAGGCTGCAACATGTCTCTCAGCTCAAGAAAAGATCTGGGTTGTTAGCTGTACTAACAGCAGGCTCTTTGTTCCTCCTTGTCAGACTATATAGGTGACGGCTGTCTGGTTGTCCATCATTAGTTTGACTCAGTCTAAGAAGGCTGCTTGCAACTTTAGAAGGTTGGAGTGTGTCTGGTTTTTGTTGTGCGCCATATTCCCTGCACCAGTCTGCCGAGGCAGCGAGAGCCCCAGCCCCATAGACTGGCATCTGAGGTGACCAAAATCCAGCCTTCTTGGCTGAGGGGCATGCCCGTGACAGGGTAGATGGTGTCGTCCACCATGCTAAGTTTTGGCGGATCCGTGCTGGTACCCGAATTCTTTGGGCTAGCGATATGCCATCCCATTCCCTTCCATCCCAGGGGAGGCTGAACCCTGGGGGGAGATTTTGCAGGGGGGGGTGAAGTTCTTACTTTTACTTTGTTGATGGTGGCCTAGAAACGACCAAAAAAAAAGAGAACAGGTGGGGATAGGAGGGTCTCTTTTTATCTCTGCTAGGGAAGGTGGTCCTGAGGGTGCGGAGGAGGAGTAAACCCAGTTCTGCTGACATGAGGACTGGCCAGGAAAGTTAATTGCAGGGGACCCTAGGGATGATGACAATGCAATCATCCCCATCACCACTGATCTTGAAGACAAGATCAGCGGTGATAGGGAAATCCTTCAACTGTTGTCCAACCAGCCTGGAATGTTGATTCTCACCAGCAGTGGTGTGGCATTAAAACTTAAAGTCAACCTATCTACTCTGCATGTTAGTCTCTAGTAGCTTCTAATATGTCATGTAACTGGACCTCTAACTACAAAGTAAGGTCGGTTGCCTAACCTAGCCTATGATTGTGCTTCTGGTGCTGCTTAAGGCTGACAGCAAACAGTAATCACCCTGCCGGCTGAGAGAAGAGGGAGCAGCGTCCCGAGTGATTCTAGAGACTTAACAATATGTGTGACGATGCATGCCGTTCAAACTGATCCCCAGGAGTCTGAGAGAAACAGTGTGTAGTTTTGGCCTCAGCTGTCACTCTGGCCACGCCCTCTGATGCTTTTCACCCCACCCATAGGATGCTTGGTCACAGAGACTACAAAGTCTCGGTCACAAAGCCTCTGTGACCAAGCCCCCTATGGGCGGGGTGAAATGTGTCAGTGACTCCTGGGGATCAGTTTGAGCAGCGTCCATCTTCACACATATTGTCAAGTCCCTGGTTCTAGACTATACTAATTATTGAGCTCTGAGCTTAAACAAGCTATAGAATCCAAGACTAGAAGAAGGGGGGGGGGGGGGTAACTAAAATAGCAGGAGCTGCATACATACTTTATTGCAATAGACAAGTTCACCTACTAATATACTGGAAGGTGACCACTACAAACATACAGTAGCAACAATAGAACAGAGATATGTCTGTCACAAAGACTCAAACGCACACTCAAGAAGCTATGGACACCGGCAGCTAAACTATTTGAACATAGTAATACTTTTCTCATAGTCTTTGCTTCTGGTCTGGGTGAAATAAAGAAACAACATCTGCTCCTTTGTGTGTATGGTTGTTTGGCTCAGTTCTGTGGTTGCTTTTTTTTATAAACTCCCCTTTTTATATCACAGTCCTCCAATTAAGGTTTCTGACCCAGCTAGCAGGCACAAGAAGTACCTCTCTATAACCAAATGACTCACCAAATACAGACAGTAGAGGGCAGCATATTCCTACACAGGGTTTTTAATGTGATAGGATAAGGGTGTGGTGATTCTAAAACCCCTTTTTACAGAATTTTTGCCAGTTTTGATATTTGGGAGTGAAGGTAGATTAACCACTTTTGATAAACCTCAGGGTAGCTCCAGTTAGTAGTGTAGCTTTGCTCGAATTGTCTTATTTAATACCCCTTTATGGCCGCCAGACATATATGTGCAGCAGCAAAGGGTGGGCTTTAACGCACATATGCGTCACTGGGCAATTTTTGTTTATGTGCTGAGAGCACTCTTACTGCACACTCTCAGCCCAAAGACCAAACTGTGGCAGACAGTTGTCAGTCCAGGCTACAGATCCATAGTTGGTGGGACCAGCTTCCAATCGTGTGACCACTGTGATAGTGAGCATATGAACACCTATCATTCCTCCATCATACCCCCTTGGGGTTCCAAAAATTTTAAATTAGCAAAAGGGGTGGGAAAGGGTTATTAAAATGTTTTTCTTTAAGTTACACTTTCATTTTGCTTATGAAAGTAAATTAACTGGCAATATACAAATTAACTCTTTTTTGTTATTTTCTAGTTCTTAAAAAGATCAATTCAACGTCACATTGTTGTGCAAGAAAACCAATGCATACTTTTTTGGGAAGTCCACAAGTTTAAAAATGTCAATTGCAAAGCTAAGACATGACATGGCATCTTCCAGTTCTTTTTCATCCTGCAAGCTTAGGAATGTACAGTATACAATTAATTAAAATGAACATTGGATGGTCAAAAAAATTGTCCTTTTATATTAACAGTATATATCACCAACACACAGTGCATGATCATGGTACACCTTACTGCTGTGATGTGATATTCTTTATATTTGTATATTATCGTATAGAAAACTTTGAGGACTACTGTGACTACATTGTCTTCTTAGCACAAACTCCAGACTGTGTTTCCAGGGAAAACTACTTTCAACAGACTAGTAAAGTACTTCCAATACTGATCCCCACCCCTGTACACTTGCCAACTGGATTCCAGAAGTTTACATGGACCTCCAGAACCAGGGGGAGGCGATAAAGGACTGACCTGCAGAGCCCTCCAGCCTGACCTGAGCTTGACCCCCCCCCCCCCCAGACTTGCTTACTTCAGCTACTCTGAGCCAAGCTAAATTTACCTATCTTAACACACTAGAGGGTGCCACATTTAACATGTGAGTTGCCTACTTTTTTGACTATTAAATTTTATGGAGAGTCTACACTTAGAGGCATGTTTTTGTTTTCCCCTTTTCTGATTTTCCAGCAGGACTGTTCAACAGAAGTCGATCATTAGACCAGCTTCTGTTGAACAGAGAGGAGTACACACATACAGAAAGTTGGCCTGTTCCTACTGAACCTGAGAATTTTGGTACATGATTACCTGGCTTAAGATCAAAGTAGCCTCATTAGCTATAATGCTCTTGCAGTCAATGAAGAAAATAAAACCAAAAACTGTAACATGGTCCAAGAATGGTCAGGGAACTTGTAGTTTTCCCATTCACAAAATACTGTGAATGAGTAATGCGGCAGGGCAGGCGGAGCCTGTGAGGCCACATTTTTTTTAAAATTGTGACAGCTAGCATGGGGGAGAAGATGACCCGCTAACTGTCAAAGGGGGGGATGGGGGGTGATGCAGAGGTCGGTCCTTTTGTAACATGTTACCCCGTGAATATGGGTGCAACATGAAACATGTTAAAAAAGGTGAACTTATCGTTTAAGTTGAAGTGCCGCCCTAATGCAGATTTCTCATGACCGCAGCCTCAGCCTGCACTGTTGGGTATTATTGAACCAAGATTCTGAAGGTTCACATTAGGGCACCTTAAGCCCCACCCACAGAGCAGGTAAAGAGTCAACTGACGTCATTCAGCAGGTCCAGGCTGGGGAAAGATCCCAACATCAAAGTCAGAATCCACACCAGAGTCTGGAGTGACACCTGGCTCAGCCTCTCAGTGAGCTGCTGAGAGCCTGAGCCAGCTTCTCCCTCCCCCTCCACAACCCAGTGCTCCAGTGAGCACTGGTGGGGCAGAGCAGACAGCGGTGACTGACAGGTCATGTGATCGCCAGACAGGGACAGATGCACCATCGGACCTATGTTGCATCCACCTAGTTAAGTATAAATGGGAAAAAAAAGTCCACACTGAAATGAAACAGTGCTACCATATATTCTTCCATAATTTTTAGCTTTGGACCAGGGGCGGACTGACAACTCATGGGGCAATAATAGGGGATCATGGGGCCCCTGTGTCCTCGCCCACACTCAAACCACACCCAAAAAAGTCTATGAAAAGTACCAGGGACATCTCATGGGGTCCCCTACTGACTGACCCGGGCCCTCGGGCAGTGCCCGAGTTCCCCAATGGTCAATCCGCCCCTGCTTTGGACATGTAGTCACCCACACCCCACCCCCCCTTTCATACTGTCTTTCAATGTGAAATTTTGACATATTATAAAATTACAAAAACATAAAAGGTTCAAGATTTAAAAAAATAGAAGCAGGGTGAAGGAAACGTGAAACATGGGAACACACTTGATTGGAGACTGGTGATCTGATGGTGTCCACATCCATGCCATCACAAAAGATCATGTACCAAATGTTGGCACTGAGTCAGGCTCAGTTTGGCATTACATGTTTTGCAATGATTTTTGCATGTTTTGTAATGGGACAATCATGGCAAAATTGCACAGCATTTGGGGAAATAATTAAGAAATATTGGCACTGCCAGTGAGTCATGCATTTTGCCACGATTCTGTAAGTATGTTCCTTGTCATTTGATTGCAGGATTCCTAATTGACACAAACTGCTGCACCTTCCTTCTCTAAGTTCTGATGTACAGCATGCTGCAAGATGCTGAAATCAAGTCAAATTTAGGTATTTACACTAACTACATTTAAAAAAAATACAATTAAGGACCTTTTCATGAATATACAACTTCATCAGTTAAATACCTGCCTGCAGTTTAGCAGTACCTGACATACTGTGTATATATACACACTATGTGTATATATATATATATATATATATCACTACACCCTCAGGGGCCTATAAGTATTTTTTGGGTTCCCTGCATTTCCTCACCCCCGCTTTGGAAGCCCTGTCCCTGCTGATACCACCTTAGACCTTTGGCCAGAAGGACCCTCTGGCTGGAACCATAAAATCGACTCACACACAGTTTAGAGTGGACTGATATTTTGGTTGTATTGAGATGAAAATATAAGCACAGTAAATGACAAGAAAATATATGCATGGCATAACAGCTACCACTCTTAGTAACTTCAAGTAAAGGTCACAACACAATTTCAATCAGTTTCAGATGTCCTGCAATTCAGAATTGAAACCATAGCCCCAGACCTGAGATGTTCCTTCCCATGTGAGCCAAAAAACTACCAAACAGAGAGGAGAACTTTCTTTGAGCTCTCAGTTGCTGATGGCTGGGTTTAATTTTGAGAAAGGAAGAGCACTTCAAGTGGATAGGTCAATGTCCCTTTAAACTGCAGTGCTTAATCCTCTGCATGCTCAATGGGGCTCTAGTTGGTGCACATGAGGATCCAAATCTTTATTGAGGCAAAGGTAGGAGTTCTGTAATTGAGGGTGAACACAAACAAAGGGAGATGCCTCTTTAAGTGATATTGAATTCGGATGGTAACCCTTTAGCACACAGTTTTAAATGTAAAATTAGGCAGAATTTAAGGGATGGGCAGAAATATACCTCTGTAGGAGTTAGTTCTTCTTTGGACAAACAGCAGCAAACTAGAGTGATGAGGGTGCTCCCTGGCGAATAGCTCAGATTGTAATTAAAGCAATAATTCAACTTGACCCTCAGAGGGCAGATATTGCAGCAGGATCTTGTGATTGGATGTGTTGGAAATGCAATAATTAGTAGGCTGGACAACTTAGGCCTTAACACTTGTAACATGAAAAAGAAGGGATGTCAAACTGAGTAGAAAGTAACTGTCAGGGATCACGGCCCATGGAGCCGCGATCGCGGCTCCGTCCCTCGCGCATGCGCGGTGGCGGCAGATCGCGCCGGGACACAGGCACCAGGGCCCGGCGAGCCGCGGCTGACAGGACGCCGCGCATGCGCAGTAGGAGCCGCGGGCGCGCCTCAGGCGTCCAATGACAGCCGGGGGCGCGTCCTAGCCGGCCAATGACAGTGCAGGGCGCACTATTTAAAGCGGAATTCTCGCGGAATTCTCGTACAATAACTCGAGTCATTCAGCTACGGGTCAATCCCCGTTCTATGCCAATTACGGTATCATCCCACATTCCTCCCTGACCTTATGCCTGAGAATCCGGTACCGGCATCTCAAGACATCTTGGAATTCCTTTCAGTCAATAACAGACAATTCAGGAAGCCATCGCTAAAGCCCAAGAGGACAGTAAACGAGCATTCGACGGTAAGAGAAGAGGAGAATTACTGCTTCGACCAGGAGATCGGGTTTGGCTAGCAACGACCAATTTGAAGATGCTGTGCCCTTCAAGGAAGCTGGGACCCAAGTACATTGGCCCGTTTCCTGTAAAACGAGTCATCAACAGGGTGGCCTACGAGCTCGAGCTTCCGCAGACACTCAGGATACATCCTGTGTTCCATGTGTCCCTCCTGAAGCCTTCTAGACCGGATCCCTTCCCGGACCGTGAATCCAGACCTCCCGAGGCAGTCACCATAGGTGACCAGGAGGAATATGAAGTGGAGACTGTCCTCAGTTGCCGAAGGAGGGGAGGCCAGACGCAGTTCCTGATAAAATGGAAGGGGTATGGTCCTGAGGAGAACTCATGGGAACCCGCCCGGAACGTTCACGCGCCCAGGCTCATCCGGGAGTTTTTTTCGTGCTCACCCGCGGTGGAGAGATCAGTGGGGCTCCCGGAGGGTGCCCTTGGGGGGGGGCAATGTCAGGGATCACGGCCCATGGAGCCGCGATCGCGGCTCCGTCCCTCGCGCATGCGCGGTGTGGCGGCAGATCGCGCCGGGACACAGGCACCAGGGCCCGGCGAGCCGCGGCTGACAGGACGCCGCGCATGCGCAGTAGGAGCCGCGGGCGCGCCTCAGGCGTCCAATGACAGCCGGGGGCGCGTCCTAGCCGGCCAATGACAGTGCAGGGCGCACTATTTAAAGATGCCCTGCACTGTCACAAGTTGCCGCAAGGTCTTCCTGTGATCCTGAAGTTCCTGTACCTGCCTGAGACCCTGATTGACCCTGACTACGCTGCCTGCCCCTGTGATTGACCCGGATTGACCCTGACTATTCTGCCTGTCCCTGCGTTTTGACCTGGATTGACCCTGACTATTCTGCCTGCTCCTGCGTTTGACCCGGATTGCCCTGACCATTCTACGGATTGATACCCCCCTGCTGACCCTGCGTGTGACCCGACTACTCTTGGCCTACTGATTCTGTACCCCGCTTACCCTCACGGGCTCACGATCAGTTGTTACCCTGCTAGGGCCGTTAGCCACTTCACATCTGGCTCTCCCGGTACCTGTCCCCAAAGGTCTCCTCGGCCACTGGGGGGCCTGCTCGGAGGTCGTGACCTGGCCCGGGACTGTTTTAAGTCCATCCCCACCATCAGGGGCCTGGTGAAAGCACAGCCCGGGCTTAGACCCCACGCTCTGAGTAGGTCCGCCAGCTGGCAGCCTGAGGCACCACCGGCGGATCATAACAGTACCTTGCGGCCATGACAGAGCCAGGAAGTGTACCGGCGTCCCTAGAGGATATTTTGTCAGCACCTGGCAACCTTGACCCAAGCTTTCCAGAACTTCCACAGTCGCTGCGCCCGACTGGAGGACCGCATGGATTCATTAGCTCCCCTGACTCCCCCTGCTCAGAGTCCTCCACCTGCAGAACCTCCCGCTAACCCGGGATCCGGAGCGGTTGCCACACCCCTAGCTCCCGAACCCCGCGTTCCCCTCCAGAGCGATTCCGTGGTGACCGGAACCGCTTCCGAGCCTTCCGAAGTGCGTGTACCCTGTACTTTGACTTACAGCCCCGCACGTTCACCACCGAGTCCATCAAGGTGGGGTTTATAGTCTCTCTCCTGCAGGATGAGCCCCAGGATTGGGCTCATCGTCTGATGGAGGGGGCATGACCCACATCTTGACTCCGTGACCGAGTTCTTTCGGGCCATGGCCGTCTTGTATGACGACCCTCAGCGGGCTGCATCCGCAGAGACTACCCTATACTCACTACGGCAGGGCCGCCGGGCAGCCGAGGAATATGCGGCCGACTTTAGACGTTGCATGGGAGACACCAGATGGAACGATGCGGCCTTATGTCACCAGTTCCGCATCGGGCTGTCTGAGTCTCTCAAAGACGAACTCGCACGAGTAGGTCTACCTGACACCCTGGAAAAACTGATCGAATTGGCCATACAAATTGACCGTAGACTAAGGGAACGTCGGCTGGAAAGGAGCAGCCAGGGTCAAAGGGTGGCATGGATTCCGTCCAGAGATACAGCTCCAACCCCAGGGAACCATCCGCGAAGCACGGAAACAGGGGACAACCCGGAACCCATGCAACTGGGATTGGCCCGTTCCCACTTATCGGTCGAGGAACGTCAGAGGAGACTATCACGGAAACCTATGTCTGTACTGCGGGGAAGCTGGTCATCAGGTGCGCTCGTGTCCTGCTAAAATGAGTAAGTCACGCCCGTTTCTCTTACTTTACCTGCAGGAAGGGATGATCAGTCGAGTTACCTGGCCATTCCTGTGTCTTTGCAGCTCCCCGGAGGAACATTGTCGGTGACCGCAATCGTTGACTCAGGAGCCTGTAGTTGCTTCATCGACCTGACCTTTGCCCACCGGCAAAAAGATCCCACTCCAGACCAAAGAAAGGGGGTTCAACATCTTCTTGGCAGATGGGTCCCGTATAAAATCAGGGGTGGTGGACCAGGAGACACCACCCATTTTCACCACAATGGCAGACCATCACCAGGAGTTCCTCCGCCTGGATGCCATCGCGTCCCCCCTTTTTCCAGTCATTCTGGGCTCCCTTGGCTGAGGGCCCATAACCCCCAGATGACTGGGAAAAGGGGACAATTCAATTTCGCTCCCCTTATTGTTTGAGTCACTGCCACGTCACAGGACCCATGGTGCCCCGGTTCCTCCTGTGCTTGGATGGCGACACCAATCTATCCCAGGTTATTCCTCCGGCCTACCACGACTTCTTAGACGTCTTTAGTAAGCGAGGAGCAGATGTTCTCCCTCCGCACCGTTCCTACGACTGCCCCATAGACCTCCTACCCGGATCTGAAATCTCATTCGGCCGTATCTTCCCCTTGTCCGAAACAGAATCGGGGTGTGCTGAGGGATTATATATTGACGAAAACCTACGGAAGGGATTTATTCGTCCATCCACATCCCCAGCCGGGCCGGATTATTCTTCGTAGAGAAGAAAGACAAATCGTTACGGCCTTGCATTGACTACCGTGACCTGAACAAAATAACAGTAAAAAATCGTTATCCTTTGCCCCTAGTCCCCGAGCTCCTCCAGAGATTGAGATCCGCAACGATATTTACTAAATTAGA